AGCTTTATCAGAATATCTACATTGGCGTAATGGCATCTTTTTTTCTGCTGGACGTGATACTTCTCTTCTACATATGCTACCATGCTGGTTTCCCAAAGCAGTTAGGAGATTGATTCAGCTCTATGTCCAGGTGTCCTTTGTATCCTTCTTTCAACCCATGCATTTTGTTATCGTCCTGAATTAGATATTCATTGAATTAACTGACAGTAGAGTAGAAATGGATCCCTTTTTTAAATTATTACTGGAGACATGGAACAGGTGTACGTGGTGTAGGACCCGTTTTAATATTCTTATGTTGGTTGAAAACTCCTTTCTATCCAAACCATTCCTTTCTATCAACATTACCCACCCAAGTGAACCATAGAATATTCTTTTATTCAAAAATTAATCATTAGCCGTTTTTCATAGGGCTAGCTCCTCTCTTTATACACATAGGACTCGATACTCTTTGGAGAAACACAAACAGCTCAGTTAATATAACTGATCAACTAAATGGAAAATGTGGTTATAACAGATACGAGTAGAATTACAGTTTGGCTAGCATCCCACATCAGGGTTACCCTGAAAGTTTTAGGGATGTTACTTTTAAAAGTCAAGTGTTCGTATTTTTGTATATGCTTTATGTTTGTGCAAATTATATTGCAGGGTCCTCTTGGATGGCAATCATTCTCAGGTTTGCCAACGGGGCAGACATTATGGGAGAGGGATGTTTATTTTTCAATGAATGATGAACATTCCGAAATCAGTCCAATCTCTTGGGAAGCAACCGTACAGAAGCATATTGAAGATGAGCTGTATGATTCTTCTCTTAAGGTGTGTCCAGCTTTAGATGAGCTATATGATGCAAAGAGAAAAGGGGTCTTATTGAAGGAAACATGGATAATACCTTATGAAAGTGTTTCATTATCACCCCTAGCTATAGGATAAATTTTGAAATATATTGCGAAGCAAGTAGAATTCTAATTCACAACTGCACTGCATATTATGGTCGCCTTATCATATAGCCAGGGGAGATAAGGGAACACTTTAATAAGGGATTGTTTCCCGCTAACTATTTAAATTAGATGATTATCATTGGCTGTTTGTATACCATATATGTTCTGTTATCTGGCAGTTGGAAATTTTATCTGCTAAATGTATCGCATTAATGTGGTGTATTTACTATTTATCTATGTAAATGTATACATTACTAGTGATTGTAAAAGCTAAAGAGAGTCTGAGGGTAAAACATCTTCCTCAAATATTCCAAACATTTAACTATTATCAACAAACGATGAAACAGATCCAGATGCTTGATTTTCCATGTTTACACAAAGCATCTGTCTCTCTGATAGAGACACTCAAGTCTTTAAATTTGTGGATCATTATTAGTTATTAAAAAGCAATTGATGATATTAATAGATGCCAATCTCTTGATAAAACATTATATATTGCAGGTGCCGTGATGCTTTTACATTGTCCAAAGAAATAAAACTGCCTAGCTCAGGCGTCAAAATCATACTAAATGTCTTAGTTATCTTGACAGATCCTCAAGCTTGCTAATCTTGTTTATTGCTATTATCTTTTTTCTTTTACGTTTTACTATCACTAGTAATATATGTTGCTACATTGTCATGAAGAGTCTGTCACTATTTTATTTCTGTCATTATTGGTTGAAACATGTGTGCTTCTGTAAGCCGTACTCTCAGCTCAGCATTTCAATTGTCTTTTAGGAAACTGGACTTGGGCTTGAGCATAATTTGCATCGTGGACGTGCATTATCATCTTTTAATCATCTTCTTGCTGCTAGAGTTCAGAAACTAAAATCAGATATTCAGCCAGGTTCAGCAACTCGACAATCAAATATACAGTTGGATCTACAGACTCTTTTTGCTCCTCTAACACCAATGGAACAGTCACTTCTTTCTTCTGTAAGGATTTCTTTATTTATTATCATTTTCTTTATAGGTAATTAACATGGTAACAAAGGACTAAGAGGATAAATTAAATGTCAAAACTACAAAAAAAAAAAAAACATCGTGGAGGACATAAAGTAAACTGCAAAAGAAATGTCAAAATATAGAAATATAAAATTGTTGGATCAGAAAATAAGTGAAATATATTTAATGCTTTTCTAAGCGACTTGGACATCATCAAATTTTCCCTCGAGTATTTTCACATAACCTAACATATGAAAATTACACATTCCGAGAAAATTCTTCTCTTTCTAGGCATCCTTCCATTAAAAAGTATTCCAACTCAATTATTGGTAAAATTTATAAGACGTTACACACTAAAATGATAGTTTAAGCTGATATTTGTTAAAAGGAAACGAATGGTCACTGGTTCTCCACTCATTGAGAGGGAAGAGAGAACTAATTGGATTTTCTCTCTGTTCTGAAAGGCACTTCTACTCTACTCGAGTATTTTGGCTGTAGGAGGACTCTTCTGCAATTTGAGCACCCTGCGGACCAAGCCTTACTGAGGTCCATCATCATTGTTTTTAATAACGATCCAACATCACTTTTCTTATAAAATCATCTTTCTCTAATTTATTTGCTTGTCTTTT